AATTATGGGATTTAGCTTTTGCTCATCCAAGAACATGTATTTAAGGTGAGAGGAAAGTTGTTTCAATTCTATCTTTGATGTCTCTTCTCCTCTGCCCTCACTCTTGTGTAGATCTTTTATTCCTCTCTTGGAATTGAATATTGGCTTGCGAACTTCTAATTGATGACCACACTTCACCACCTCTTCATCAGTCATTTTTTTATTCAACTCCTTTGCTTCCATTTCTGACAGTAGAGCTCTCTCTAATGGATTCTTCCTCACATGACAGTGTATCTCCTCCTACACAAGAGACTCAATTATTTCAGCCTTGAAATAATCTGCTTTGTCTAATTTATGGTTCACTACTTCATTTATAGAAAATGTTACTTTTTCATCTACTACTCTTAACATCAATTCACCTTGTTCTACATCTATCAGTGCTCTTCCTGTGGCTAAAAATGGTCTTCCCAATATAATTGGGACTTTAGCTTCTTCCTCTATGTCAAGAACCACAAAATCAGCTGGAAAGATAAATTTATCCACCTTCACTAAGACATCTTCCACAATTCCATAAGGATAAGTCATTGAACGGTATGCCAATTGTAGAGTTATCATAGTAGGCTTCACTTCTCCAATACCTAGCCTTTTAAAAATGGATAAAGGCATCGAATTGATACTTGCTCCAAGGTCACACAATGCCTTACCCACCGTTATATTTCCAATCTCACATGGAATGACAAAGCTTCCTGAATCCTTCAACTTAGGAGGTAATTTTTGTTGAATTATTGCACTGCACTCCTCTGTGAGCATAATTGTTTCCTCTTCTTGAAGCTTCCTTTTCTTTGACAACAAGTCTTTCATGAATTTAGCATAACTTGGCATTTGCTCCAATGCTTTAGCAAATGGAATATTAATGTGGAACTTCTTAAAGACATCAAGAAATCTTGTAAATTGCTTCGCTTGTTCTTGCTTCTTCAACCTTTGAGGGAATGGAATTGTAGGGACATACTCACGCATTTTACTCCCACTCTCTTGATTTTTTTTCTCCCTCATTCGTCTCCTCACATTTTCTCTCAACTTCATGTTTCTCACTCTCTTCTACTGTTTCATCAACTCTTTTATTTTTCTCTCTCTCCATCTCACTCCTTTTTTCATTCTCTAACACTCTTCCACTTCTCAATTGAATTGCCTTACATTGTTCCCTTGGATTTGGTATAGTGTCACTAGGAAATGTTCCAGGAGATCTCTCTGAGAGCTGTCTTGAAAGTTGACCAATTTGATTCTCCAAATTTCTGATTGAAGCCTCCTGGTTCTTGAAGTTAGTCCTTGTTTCATTCATGAAATTAGAAGTTTGCTTCACAAAGGTAGAAGTTTGCATAGTTAGCTTCTCTAATGCATTTTCCAACGTAGACATCTTGTTTCCTTGATTGTTAGGTTGTGTTTGATATTGATATGGAGGCTTGGTTGATTAGATTGGATTGGATTGCTCCAAGGTCTATTTGGTTGGTGCCTCCAATTTGAGTTAAGGTTGGTAGAAAACTGATTCTGTTGTTGTCCCACTACATTCATATGTGTCTCTTATTGAGTGGACTGACATTCACCATTTTGATGCATTCCTCCACAAAAGTCACACACTTGAGATATTGTATTAACATTATTTTCTTGCATATTTCCCAACTTTTGAGTCAAATCAGTGATTTTTTGTGTTAACAACTTGTTTTTGGTTAGGATAGCATCCAAAGTATTAACCTCCAACACTCCAACTTTTCTATTTTGACGATGAAACTGCATATTCACTATGTTGTTTGCCATTAGCTCAAGAGTCTCCAAAGCTTCTTCTGGTGTTTTGAGATTGAATGATCCTCCACTTGCTGCATCCCAAATTGCTTTAAAAGAGGGTGAAAGACCATTATAAAATATATGCACCTGTAACCAAACTGGTAGAGCATGATGTGGACACTTCCTAATTAGCTCCTTATATCTTTCCCATGCCTCATATAAGGATTTAGTGTCTTGCTGCACAAAAGTAGTAATCTCGTTTCTCATTTTGTAGCCATATCCTCCCATGTAAAAATACTCCCTTGAGGTTGTGATTGAAGCCAGCTTTTAGCCTTATCC